ATACCTAATTCTATTTAAAATGTATTTCAGTGTTTTTCTTCTTAAAACACATTTTTAAATACATGTTCTGCTTAGAATACTTCTCAAGAAGTACTTTTCCTAATGTAAATTTCAAAAGAAAAAAAGCAAGCTATGAGAAGAATTAACACCAATTGAAGTTGACTAACTATAAAAACTTACCAGCATTTATGATTCATCAAAGAAAATTTTACTGTGTAAATCTGAACTTCAACTTACAGTCTAAATAAAGAAAGACTTTCAGCGATCTCACTATATTGTTAACTTAAGAAATAAATCCTTAGGACCAGAATATGGATATAAAATAAAAAGAAGGGAAAAGGACAAACACTCTAGGCCCCTTAACATCAGACCTGTTAATGCTGCCTTAACCTTCTGCAGGTAGGATGCTAACACGAGAGACCAGAAATGGATGTGTGCACATTCACAAACGCTCCTTCTGTTCCCTCAGCACATTACTAGCATTTTACTCTCTCCTTGAGAATTTCTCCATGCCACATTCTCTAAAACTGATACTTGCATATATTTGAAAAAGAAATATTAGTTTGCATACAACTGACTTTGTCTAAAAAATGCAAAGAATGAATAGGTGAAAGCTTGTGTTCCTTAAAGAAAAATCTAAAGATAATGAAAGACAACAGCAGCAGGAAGAATTACTTTTCCTAGATAATGCACAAGTTATTCAACAGTTGATCATTCAAGTTCAATTCAATACATATTTGGGGACCTATGCAAGGCATCATGCTAGATGCTAAAGTGGATACTAGGTAAGACATGGTCCCAGATCTCAAAAAGGTAATAATCTAATTGGGGAGGATAAATAAAAGTAAACAAGCAGCTATTGTTATGTAACACAAAACTGAGTAACAGAAGGAAGCACTGCTTCAGAGATTCCATGGAAGGAGAGAGTCTGCCAGAGAGGGAGCACAGCAAAGAAAAATTCTAAAACAGCAGCACTGAGGGCAGCTGGAGCCGGGTACAGTGGTGTGCACCTACGGTCTCAGCAACTTAGAGACTGAGGTGGAAGGACCCCTGGAGCCCAGAGTTCGAGTCCAGTCCAAGACCCCACCTCTAAAAAAAAAAAAAAAAAAAAAGGGAGAAAAATGTATTGCTGGTTATTGTAACACTGTAAGAAAGGCTGTCTCAGACATAAGGCCATGGCAATAGGTATGGGAAAGAGAGGCTGGGCATGGTAAGAGATGCATTCTCTCCTTGCCACTGACCAGGGAAGAAGAGGATAAGAAATGTCCAGGATTTCAGTGTGGGTTATTAAAATTACTGCAGTTTCATTTACCAAATGAATAAAATTTATTAGTTTTGTTCTCTTCTTTGTTTTGACTATTAAGAAGCTCAGTGCCAAATATTTCTAACACATGGCAAGTGTTTCTGTGTACCTTATAAGTCTATATATAAATTTTCCTTCTCTTGACAGGATTTTATCTATATTTAGCAAGTCACCCCTAATTCTTTTAGAATAAGGCAGAAATTAAATCAACATAAAGGTTGAGACCAAGCCAGAGACAGCTGGCCGAAGTAGCTGGTTCAGGGATATAACCTGAAAGCTGCCAACCCAGCGCATTCTTCTCACCCTTCTTCCACCCTATGAAAGGCCATATCTTACAAGAGATGCTGGAAAATGCCAGACATTCACTGCCTCAGCCTCCCTCACAGCTAGCAGTGGCATGAGATCAGTTCGATCCAATGACACTGAAATGAAACTCTCCAAAGTGAGTTTCTGCAAAAGACTTCTCCGTTAACAGGGAGTTATAAGGAAATATGCACCTTCCCTGCTTTCCAATCCAGGCATGATGTCTGGTGCTACAGCAACCATACAGCAAACATGAGGCAAATGAGCCTGAGGAATAAAAGCTAAAACACTTAGAAGAAGAAAAAGATGCAAAGAGCCTAGATCATTAATGACATTATTAAGCCACTGCACCAGCTTTAGAACCAACTACTTCTAGGTTTCTTGCTACGGAACGATAATAAGCCCTATTATTTAAGCCATTAATTTGAGCATTGTATTGGCAAAGGCATCCTAACTGATACAACAAGAGATCATCATGAGGTCAGTTTCTCACAGGTTGATCTTTATACTGCTGAGTTAGCAGGGTTATTACATATTATTAGTTATAATTAGCAGATGATGATGACTGAGATAATAATGTAAACATGTAGCCAGGAAGAAGGTAGTAAGCCAAGAAGAGCTGCTGGGAGCAACTTAACATAAAAACAGAAAACGAGATAATGATAAAGTTTGAAAAAATATGATTAAGTGTCAGTAGGGGTACATAGAGGTTAAGAACAGAGGAAGAAGAGAGTAAATGAATAGAAGTCCACTAAGACAGAGAAAATGAGGCAGGCCTTCTTTTCCGGCAATGTGACAGACAAGATTACCTAAAAATTCTTCTTAATATAAAACAGTAAAAAATTCTAGGTAACGTGTAAGAACCATCTGTTTAAATGAACAGCTAGGTTCACAAGAAAATAAAGGACCTCCCCAAGGGCCAAAAATCAAAAAGGAACCTAAAAACCAGAGCAGAAAGTGTACAGTGATACTGTGTAGGAGCCTAGGGCTTTGGGGAATGGATGGAGGTGGGCTGTATGTGTATAAAAAGCACCTGCTCTTTGGGATATAACAGAACAAAAGAAAAAGAGAAAGCTATGACTAGCTTCATATTTTCTTTAAAAACACCATTTTGAAGACAATTATAGCTCTTGCATGTTTTTCAATCTCATCACTTTACCCTCTGCAAGAAAAAATTCCAGAGTTAAATGCATATTTTTGTACATATTTATATATTACCAAGAGTTTCCTGGATATTTCACCACACGATTATGTAAAATACGACAGATAGATATAAATGATCTCCACAAGAACACCACACACTGCCCAATTTTTCACTCATCATGAAAAGAACCATCAATCAAGTATCCAAGTTCAGTATATTTGTAATCACACCAAAAGGTTTACAAACTTTAGGACTTCTTGGTAATATTTTTATCATCAGAAAAATTACAATATTCTTCTAATGACCATGTTGCCAATAGTTTCATAATACCTTATATTTTACATACAAAAATCTATCATCTCTGCATTAAATCTTAGCCTTCTACATGACAGATTCTGGAGTGCCTTCCCTGTAAACAGTAAAGGGAACTGGTGAAGGATGTGATGTTTAGGGAGTCTACCTACAGAGAGGAAGGTTTCTAATATTAAGGAGAGAAGGAATTGCAGCCTGCAGCTAAAAACAAAGCAAGCAAACAAAAAAAAAAGTCTTACGGTTCTCCACTTCTTACAGTTTTCTTCTATTCTCATTTGCTTTCCAAGCTTCTTCGAAAATTGAAGACATCACATATCACCTTTGCTCACCTTCATATTGCCACCCTAAATTCCATTAAGCCACCTCCATCATTCATTTCAAGTGGATTATTTTTTCAAACACCCCAAGAAATACCAACACACAGTCTACATTATCTTTACGAGGGTTACATGTACCTCCACTGTGTTCTCATATTTATGTAAGGCAATGTTTGAACCCAGTGCTTACATACACTGGATGCCATAATACACCATTCTAAAGGTTGCTTTACATTGTATTGCTTCTTGAATGTTTTCCCACAACCTGTGCGCATGATGGTTCAAGACCAAGCATTTATTCCACGAGTGAGGCCAACAAAATGCAGGGGGAAATTCACTTGGGGATCAAGAACCCAAGCCTGAGAGGGCTGCGCCTGGCTTGGGCTCTCCCTCTCGCAAGGGAGAAGGGCTGGGGAGCCGCTCCGTCTCTGGGAACTCAACCGCCTCCCGAGAGCGCGCAGGGGCTGGCCAGGTAATAAAGCACAAGTTCGCCGAGCAGGGAGGCTCCGAGGGCGCGCTGCAGGCCGGGACTCGTTTCCACAGTTACCCACGTGCACCCAACCCAACCGCGGTCCGGCGCGGCCGCGACTACAAGTCCCAGAATTCCGCGGAACCGCATTTCCCCTTCACACCCGTTGACTGGAGACAAACCCTAAAGGAAACCCCTCAAGCGCCCTCCCAGCACGCCTGGGAGAAGTCGCGCCCCCAGGGCGTGGCGCGCGGCCTAGGGCCCAGCCATCCCTCCAGGGAAGCGGGTTCCATGGTACCAACCCCCACACCTAATAGCCAGAAATTAGACAACTGCGTCACAGACTACCAAACCCACGGACTGCCAGGGACCCAGACATCTCCCCCGCGCCAAGCCCCGGACCTGGCCTTCAGGGCCCGACCCCTCCGGCTCCTACGGCGGAAAACCCGCAGCCCGCACCCCTGCCCCGCCTCCTAGTCTCGCAGCCGGAGCCCGCGCCAGCGCCGACCTCGCTTCCCGCCGCCCCGGGGGAACCGCGGCCAGTTCCAACCTTGGGGCACTTACCTCGTCCCCTCCACCTCAGCACCGCCCCCTCCTCTCTCCGCACCCAGAAGCTTGGAATCCCCCCTCAAGGGACCCTGCCTCGACGGGGAGAGGAAGCACCTCCCCTAAGCACAGTCTGACACCCCCTTAGCCCGGCTCGGGACCGAATCTGGACATGACAATCCTCCTGGCCAACTCCGCCCCACCTCCTCTTCCTCCCCGACTAGCTCCTCACCCCCACTTTATTTCTCTACCCCTGCCCCCACTCTGCCACCCTAAATCCTCCCCACCTTTTTCTCCTCTTCCTCCCAATCGCCCTACCGTTGTACACTTGCCCCATCCCATTACCTCAATATCTTCCCCTACCACCACTCTCCGCTACCCACCGCCCTTCCAACGCCCCTCCCGCCTCGCCGGACTCCCCAACTACCATTACACCCCAGTCCCTCCCACCACCTCGCTCTCCCGTTACATCAGCCCTCATCCCCTCGCCCGCCCTCCAGCCCCGCTCTGTGGCTGCCCCCATTCCCCCAACCCATTGTTCCCCCCACCCCCGCCAACCAGCCCTTCTTCCAATTGTCCCCGCCCCCGCGCCCCCCTCTCACTCACCCGCCTTTCTCACGGAGCCGCCCGCACCGCTCAGGCCTTTGGAAATCCTTTGGAATCCCCGCTCGCTCGCTCCCTCCCTCTCCTCGCCGGTGCCACCCTCCCGGCCCTGCCCGCTAGAGCCGAACGCCGCCTCCACCTCCATTCACCCCGGACACTCGGGTCTCGGCCCTTCATCGCAAGTCCAGCCCTCCCTTCCCCCAACACTGAAACAGAGCCAGTCCCCCTCAACCTCCGCCCTCCCCGCAGGCCGGCCCCTTCCCCCTACGCCCGCCCCCGCCCCGCGCCGCCCGCCCGCCCGCAGCGTCACCGCCCGCCCCGGCCCCGGGAGGGGAAGGGGTGGCTCCCGGGCAAGGGCTCCCGGCGCGTTTCGGGACCGGAGGCATGGGGCGGGGACTGCGGGAGCCGAGTGGCTAGTTCTGGTAGCCGCCCGGCCCCGGCCCGCTGGCTGGCTCTCAGCTACTCACTGACAGCGGCGGCATCCGAGTGCATTTTCAGGCAGCTCACACCCCGCTCGCCGCCCAGGATTCCGCGCTGGCCTCGCGGTCCCCCGACCAGCTCACTGCACCTCGGCTCGGAGCTGACGACCCGCCGCCAGGCACTCCCAGCCCGCCCATCTCGCCTTCTCCATTGGCTAAACCGCGGCTGAGGGGCCGCCCCGCCGCGTCTCTCATATGACAAAAGGAGTGCCGGTAGCGCTGGTCTGGAGCTGGCAGCGAGGCCCCGCCCCCCACGGGCCAATACGATTGGTCCTGGGGCCTTGTCTTCGTAACGCCCCAGGCGGAGGCCACGCTCCGGAGCAGCGGGTTGGGCCCGGCTGCTGTCAGTCACCCCCAGGGGTCCGAGAGCGCGTGTAGGGGCGATGCTGGAAAATTGGTCCACCTTGACCCTGAAACCCCGCCCAGTGGCGGGCGTGATTGGTGGAGCTGCAGACCCACCAAGAAAGATGGGTCGGCGTCTGAAACAAAGCTCGCGAAGTGTTTCCCAAAGAATCGAGCAGGGCAGCGCAGTTGGGGCGGCTCGTACCCGCTGCTGGAAGTAGGGAAGTGCGTCCGTCCCTAGCGCCCGGCGCGACGCGGCCGGGTCTCCCGCCACTTGTCCCACGCCTCCGGGCGGCTCCTTGCAGGAGCCCACTTAGCTCCGAACTTGAACTGGGACTTCCCTTGCCCGCTGTTTCCTACTGCAGGAAACTGGATTAAGAATTGCCGCGTCTTCATTTCCAGCAAACCCTCTAGTGAGCAGCAAATTTCCATTTCTCCTACGAAGATCCATCCCCTCCCCACTTTCGAAATCCACTTCTTTTCCAGAGTCCGCACACTTGTTTCCCAGAGTTCGCACACTTCTTTCCTCTCGTCACAAACGTCTGTTAAAGAGGCTTCGAATGCCACGAGCGTTGTCCGTCACACGTATCTGTATGCCCCAGACATCAGACAGAAATACAGGGCCGCGCTCTAAGCTGCGGACTCAGCCTGACACATGGACGAGTCCAGGGGGCAGGCCACCAGCCCGCGAAGGACCCCCCGCGGCATCTAAGAAAACCTGTCACTCACGCGGAGAGGCCGTCCAGAAATTGAAACTGGCTGTTATTTGGCAGAGAGAGACGTTAATTTTGGTGAATTCTTCTGACCCTAAGTCAAGAATTTGCACCATTTCCATGAGTTCTGCCCTGGTTTTTAAATACTTGAAACTAACTTAACACGCTGCGTTATGGCAACAGAATAATATTTCGAGATATTAACGGAGGATTCCCCCCACCCCAACCCACCCCTACCCTACCCTGCCTCCATCCCCATCCCCACCACCAACTCCAACAACAACATACCTACAAGGCATCCCCATATCCCAAGGCCCTGCCCCATCTGGGAGCCTCAAAGAGTGGTGACACCACAAATCACAGGTAACAGAACGCATGGTCTTTTTGGTTTTAGATTTCTACAGCCAAGGCTTTTGGGTTTCGAGGCTCTGAAATGTAGATTTTAAATCAGGACACAGATGTTATGCTATTTGGAAGGGGCTCAGACAAACCAGTTTCTGTGTCCCACAGCACTCCCATGCTAAAACGCTCCCTCCATCTTAATCTCTAATTTCTCTTTAATAAATTACATCCTTATAATTTTATTTATATCATATTTTTATCATTCAAACATTTATGAATCACTTTATGGAATCTCAGAACTGTACCTGAAGTTATTTATTATTTACTTCAGGTTCCTTCTCAAGACAAGAATCTCTCATAGAACATCCTTATTGATCACCTTTATCACGACAGTGCCTCAGCGGGGCCCCACAGTGATGGATAGGTACCTCTGAACTCTTGAGATAGCAGATTGCTCGTTGGGCAGATCTAGCAGTAAGAATGTCCGCCCTTACTCTGAGCAGGGACGCTGCTTCTGCATTCTTTCTTCTATTTGTGTTTCAGCTTAATCTACATCTAGGAAATAGTAAATTATATGTCTTCTTATACAAGTTTCAAATCTTTTGTATGTGTAATATTTATGGGGTTTTTTTTTTTTACACCGTTTACATTGTACTTCAAAGGCTGAGACACATGTTATTTTGCACAGAAAAGGGCTTCCTTCGTGACACCTCTAAATTACAATAAGCCCACAATTGATTATAGCTAGCCATTTGCTGTATTAATTTATTTGCAGCATACTTTATAATAATGTGTATAAGAGTTAAGCTAGATGAAGGATGGGTTGGCTGCTTTGCCCCAGCTCCCAACACTGGCCTGGCATGTACATGGTGTCCATAAAAATTTATGGAATGTACAACCTGTTATTTCTCAACATTGCTTTCAGTTGAGTCAGTATGATTATTTTCAAGTAAAAAACAGACTTAGAGGTAATTTACCCAGATCTTTATAATGAGTCAGCTACAGCCTAACGATTAACAGGCAAAGCTCATTCCTAGTCGTCTGAGCCTCACTGCCCCCACGTTTTATGAAGTATAGTAAAATGACTACATAATGCTCTGCAAATATTAGCTGGTCATTTAAATAATCCGTAACATATAAACCTTTGAGATCAGGAAACTTGTTATAGTTATTTTTTTATTTGCCTAGCACCTAGTACAATGCTTTCAAATATTGTAGTAGGCACTGGTTAACCATACCCCTTAAAATGAATGTTTACTATACATGAAATTTTAGATCTGGAAAAGAACCTTGGTGATTATCAAATCCAATGTCCTCGTTTTAAAAATATGAGACTTGAGGTCCAAAGGAGTTAAATGTCTAATCTGAGTCATTCGGCTAGTTGATAACAAAACAGTGCTTAAATTCAGGTTTCCCAACTCTTAGTCTGGGTCTATCCTCTGTACCACACTGTCTAATATCAAAGCTTCAAATTCCAAAGATAGGTAAACTACTCTCCCTCCCCATCTGAAAGTTACTATGCCAATCTAATACAAGTCTGCTTCATGGTGGAAATGTTGCCTTCTTTTTTATGAATTTCATTCAGGATTTTTTCAGTATATAATTCAATACTTTACTTTTTTTTTCTCATTGGTAGTATCCCCAAAGAACATGATCCCCATGGAGAGGTTTACTGAGATAATAATGTTATACTTCTGTACATTTATATTTGAATCCCTGGAGAAAAAAATTAATAATTGAATATCTTGGGACTGTGATGGGTAGAGATATTTGGAGATGCAGTCTTTATGCCATTTCATTTCACCCAGTTAGTGCCTTAGGGTAATATTGAAGCAAGTTACTTCATGTTAATGATACCTAATTTAATTGGAATTTTTCTACTTTATTAGTTGTACAATATTAATTTTAATCAGATATATTTTGAAATGCCCTAAGCCTAGATTAGAATGTGATATGGAGAAGTCTAGTAAGAGAAAAAAAAAAAAACAGCAGAGCTCTTCTATCAAACGTTAAGCTTTCCCCTAAATTCTGCTAAGCCCACTGTAGCATGCTTTTCCTGCGTGTGTTGGGATTGGGAGTAGAAGGAAAAATAGCATAGTCCTCAAGACTGAAATTAAGTTGGGGCTGCACAGACAGATAAATGTGTCCCTGGTAAGATTTAAAAAGAATAAGAAAGAACACAGTACAGGGAGGAATTAATTTGGCCTTAGATTACAGTGAGAGAGTTGGCGGAACTCCTTTAGTAATAAAAAGTCAGGCTAGGTGGGTTTCTAGGATTTGGAAATGAAAATAAATCCCCTCAAAAAGGAGAATTTATCCATAAAGGGCAGGATAGTTTTCTTTCTCCAAATATGACCAACTGAATTTGCTGTCCCAAGTGACAACAGATTCTTTCTTAATGCTTCCTATGTGACAGGCACTACTCTGATAGTACTGTACTGGTAAACCAATCTACTTAATCTCACAACAACCCAGTGGAGTACTAATAACTAATAGTATCCCCAATCTACAGGTAAGTTAACTGAAGCTTCAAGAGCTTTGATAACTTGCTACCCAGCTAATAAGTGAACGTGCCCCTAAGTAGCCAGACTCCCTGTTTTTAATATTCCTGTGCTGTGCATTTCTTGCTTGCTTGCTTTCTTGCTTGCTTTCTTTCTTGTTGGTTTTCTTTCTTTCCTTCCTTCTTTCCTTCCTTTTTTCCTTCCTTCCTTCCTTCTTTCTTTCCTTCCCTCCTTCCCTCCCTCCCTTCCTTCCTTCCTTCTCTCCTTCCTTCCCTCCTTCCTTCTTTCCTTCCTTCCTTCCTTCTTTCCTTCTCTCCTTCCTTCCTTCCTTTTCTCTCTCTCTCTCTTTCGAGATGGAGTCTCACTCTGTCACCCAGGCTGGAGTGCAGTGGTGGGATCTCCATTCACTGCAGCCTCTGCCTCCTGGGTTCAAGTGATTCTCCTGCCTCAGCCTCCCAAGTAGCTGGGATTACAGGTACATGCCACCACACCCGACTATTTTTGTGTTTCCAGTAGAGACGGGGTTTTGCCATGTTGGCCAGACTGGTCTCGAACTCCTGACCTCAGGTGATCTGCCTGCCTCAGCTCCCAAAGTGCTGAGATTACAGGCATGAGCCACCACGTCTGGCCAGTTCCTTCTCTTTTTAATCAGGTTAATATATGCCCCTATACACCTCAGAGATTATTTATAAGAATACAATAATATGGATGTTAACATGCTCTCAAAAGATAGTGAAACCAGGCTGGGCATGGTGGCTCATGCCTGAAATCCCAGCACTTTAGGAGGCCGAGGTGGGCAGATCGCTTGCACCCAAGAGTTTGATACCAACCTGGGCCAACACAGGGAGACCCTATCTCTACAAAAAAATGCAAATTTATCTGG